GAAAAACAAACGGATCAGGGCGTCTTCCTCCCGGATACAACGGGCAGGTGACCTCTTATGCATTCATCAAAAGCACTATCAACGGTACACTTAGACTAGGGTTCTCACGCATACAACAGCTATCAAAACGAACATTTATACGAAATAACCAGTGCGATAATTATAGATACAACGTAAATGTACCCACCTGATTGCAGCGACAAATCACAAACACGAGGCTCGAATAAGGGGTGAGGTCAACACCTCAAAACACCTACACAAAATCAAGATAGCCTCTTGATTACAACCAATCCAATGATGACACAAACTTAGTCGAAACTCGTCGACTAAGCGGCTCATGGGACATTCGCGTGGAGTTATGGAACATTCGACTCGACTCCAAACAAAGGAGAAAAACACACAAAGAGCCATCTCATAATTTATTCAGCCACTTAACTAGAATTTCACACCAATTATAAAACATTTAAAGGGAACATTACATATTAAAAATATGCCAAAATTCAAATGTTAACATATCCAACTAATTATTAAGAGATTCGACAAGTAAATCAGATTTTCTAGTTTACCAGGCAAATGAACGTATTTTGATTTAAAATTTGAGCACATAATAAATACTACTGAATACACCAAAACCACCAAGTTTTAGCCATATCACACATGCGAGTTTATAAAATTAAAACTAGATTTCAGCAAAAACAAGTATGAATTTAAAGTCTGACGTAACGAATGATTTAAGTCCTAAAATTTTTATACAAATAATTACAGCATGCGTGAAATGACATATAAAATTTCCAAGTAAAAACACTGAACACACGATCAATAATAATTATTGCAAGATTCAGCAGAAATCATGATTACAACAAAAACTTAACATATTGAATTCAATACATCCTGTGATTGTTATATCATTAAATGCAATATCAAAAGAGCATATAAACCGAGTTTCAGGCATTTTTATCAAGGAACCGATTTTTCATGATTTATAAGAGTTTCAGCCAAAACATTCAAATAAGAATTTACCCTAGCAAACGGATTCCAAAAATTATAAAATTTTAACAAAAGGTCAATACACATCAGGGGAACAATATAGCCAAATTGCAAAAATTTTGGACAACAATACCATTTATCATGAATTTTACAATAAACAGCAGCAATAACATATTCAAAAGTTCATAACTCCAAAACTAAAACTCCAAATGACACAAGGTCACGACCAGCATCACAAGGACATCATATGTTCTGGAATCCATAAGATTTCCACAAGTAAACATCAGATCATTCGGGGTTAACCTCAAACCCCAAAGATCCATTACATTTATAAATATATGATACAATATATATATACATATTGATATCATATTAAGCATAACATCCTATATTCAGCCATGAACACAAATAGAACACGTAATAATCAAGGAATGTAGTAAAATACCAAACACTAAACGGAGAAATGGCAACACAACGTGGTCACGGGATACGGGCTCGGCTCCTACAGGCACATAATCACAATCTAAATTAATAATCGAGCATGAATAAAAATAAACCGGACCATTAAAATAAATAATAATTTCTTAAGGACAAATGAGGCGCTACAGAGGGTTTCTCATTTACCTGACCGATGAATAGGTATTGAAGAGTCATTGGACTGAGTTTCAGGAAACCTAGAATCGGATCCAAGGACCTACAACGAGGCACTCCAAGATAAAGATGCAGATAAATGGAATGTTTCAATGAGAGCTGAAATGAGGTCAATGAACTCTAATCAGGTCTGAGATCTTGTAGAACCACCCGATGGCGTACGACCCATTGGATTCAAATGGATCTATAAGAGAAAGAGACGA